GAGTGGAGTTTGCACCTGAAGAGAAACTTTGAGTTCCCACCTGCTAGTTTTGGACGTTTTTCACAGACGCTTAGCACTCAGAACTGAGCATGTGGAGAGACTTTCATTCATCTAGCAGAAAGGGAACTGAGTGCAGGATAAACAATTACTCTGGTTTCTCAGTGTTTTTCCTAGTGTCGCCTGGAAGTTCTTGCAATTTTCTCTTAAAAACAGTGATGGAGCTTGTAGCTCCCCTTAAATATGTATGGAGTGGAGTTTGAAACTGATGGGAACCTTTGTGTTCCCAACAAGTTATGTGAACTATGGCTTTCACACACGGTTAACTTTGAGAACTGAGCATATGGAGAGATGTTCGTTCATCTAGCACAAAGGGAACGGGTTGCAGGAGGAACAATTCCTCTGGTTTCTCAGTGTGTTTCCTAGTGCCAGTTTGAAGTTTTTGCACTTTTCACTTAAAATATGAGTTGGAGCTATTACCTCCCCTCATATATGTATGGAGTGGATTTTGCAACTGAAGAGAAACTTTGTGTTCCCAACAAGCTAGGTGAAGGACGGCTTTCACACACACTTAACTCTCAAAACTGAGTATGTGGAGAGACGTTTGTACATCTAGCACAAAGGGAACTGGGTGCATGAGAAACAATTACGCTGTTTTCACAGTGTGTTTTCTAGTGCTGGTTGGAAGTTCCTGCAGTTTTCAATGAAAAATCGATTTGGAGCTTGTACCTCCCCATATATATGTATGGAGTGGAGTTTGCAACTGAACAGAAACTTTGTGTTCCCAACAAGCTAAGTGAAGGACAGCTTTCACACTCGCTTAAACCTCAGAACTGAGCACGTGGAGAGACGTTCGTTCCTCTTGCCAAAAGTGAACGTGTTACAGGTGAAACACTTAGTCTGGTTTCTCAGTGGGTTTCCTAGGGCCGGTTGGATCTTCCTGCCATTTTCACTGTAAAGCAGATTTGGAACTTTTAACTCCCCATATATATGTATGTAGTGGTGTTTGCAGCTGAAGAGAATCTGTGTTTTCCCAACAAGCTAGGTGAAGGACGGCTTTCACACACGCTTAACTCTCAGAACTGAGCATGTGGGGAGACTTTCTTTCATCTAGCAGAAAGGGAACTGAGTGCAGGAGAAACAATTACTCTGGTTTCTCAGTGTGTTTCCTAGTGCCGTTTGGAAGTTCTGCACTTTTCACTGTAAAACGTGTTGGAATTTGTACCTCCCATATATATGTATGAGGTGGAATTTGCAACTTAAGAGAAACTTTGTGTTCCCTACAAGCTAGGTGAAGGACGGCCATCACACACGCT